GGGGCATTGCTGGCACATGATGGCATATAGAACATTAGTGGATGTGCAGGTGAATGAGCCCTTGATGGTGTGGCTGATGTGGTTGGGTCCTCTGATGCTGTGGCCAGAGTAGATATGGGGACAGAGTAGGCAATGAGGTTTGCTACAGGGATAGGTTCCTGGGTTGGTGTTTCTGTGGTGTGGTGTGTAGGTGCTGGTGAGTATTTGCTTCAGGTTGGGGGGGTTGTCTGTAAGCGAGGACTGGCCTGCCTCCCAAGGTCTGTGAGATAGTATCAGGGGGTAGCCGTGTTAGTCTGTATCTACAAAAACAACAAGGAGTCTGGTGGCACCTTAAAGACTAACAGATTTATTTGGGCATAAGCTTTCGTGAGTAAAAACCTCACTTCTTCGGATGCATAGTGGTCTGTGAGAGTGAGGGATCATTTTCCAGGATAGGTTGTAGATCATGGATAATGCGCTGGAGAGGTTTCAGCTGGGGGCTGTATGTGATGGCCAGTGGTGTTCTGTTATTGTCCTTGTTGGGCCTGTCCTGTAGTAGGTGATTTCTGGGAGTCTGGTCCTGAAGTTTTTTTTGCTGGGACCAGACTCCCAAGAGAAACTGCTGAGCTCCAGTTCATTTGCAAATTTGACACCATCAGATCAGGATTAAACAAAGACTGTGAATGGCTATCCAACTACAGAAGCAGTTTCTCCTCCCTTCGTGTTCACACCTCAACTGCTAGCAGGGCACCTCACCCTCCCTGATTGAACTAACCTCCTTATCTCCATACTGATTTATATCTGCCTCTGGAGATTTCCATTACTTGCATCTGAAGAAGTGAGGTTCTTATCCACTAAAGCTTATGCTCCCAATACTTCTGGTAGTCTTAAAGGTGCCACAGGACCCTCTATTATGATAGGAGGAGGACACCCTATGAGGATATGGAAGTTAAGATATTGTAAAGGAGGGAAGAGTATTCATACATATGCATGAAGGACATTATACAACATTTGGTCTTAGGTAAAACCCTTAGAGTTCTTCATTGGCACGCCAGGATCAGACTAGGATCTATCTCAGTCCTTAGAGTTCTCCCCAGGACTGAGCGAGTCTATCCACATGTAATGGTGCGGGTCGTCCTTACGGTGTTCTATTATCTCACTTTACTTGTTTGGATGGTTTTACTTATTGGACTAATCACGGTAGTAATAAAACTTTTACAATTGCGGAAGGTCTTTCCCGAGTGCGAGTGACGCTGATAAATCCTGGGTCTGATCCTGGGGCAAGAACCCTATCAAATTACAGAATGCTAATTGGGGAACCTAAACCCTTAAAGATAAATCAATAGACCTTCAGTAGATCAGGCAACAGAAAACGGTCTATGTAATAACTAATAAGTTGATATTTAAACACATCACACCCAATAGGCAGCATTATTCAGAAGAAATGGGCTGTGAATAGCTGTCTGTCTTCAGAGTAATTCATCAGACTCTGAAATTGATGAGAAACTCAAGATGGTTGATACTGAACTTTGTAACACCAATGGAGTAGCATTTCCAGCACCATTCAATTGCATTGGTAGGTGGCGAGTTTTAATCCGAAGAAGGGACTTTATGAACAGGGATGAGACGGGATAAGCCAAACCAGTGTATGTCTGGGGTGCATCAGGGAGGGGAAACAGAATGTGGCAGGACTGCAATAACTGAAAATAGTGCGCCGATTATACAAATTGTCTCAGTTGTGCAACTTTTCCCTGACTCCGCTTCAGTGCAAAACTCACGCGATCCAAGGATGCCTCCCTCACCTACTCCAGAATCAAATACCTCAGGGCAGGTATAACCATGCTTTGTATCTTCCACCGCTGGCTATCAGCTTTCGACCAACGTTAGTGGAGCTCCATTACTCGGTTTAAGCCCCGTTCTCCAGAGGGGGAATCTGAACCACAATGCAGCAAGGCAAGTTGACCAAGGTTACAAAGCTGGTCAGTGGCCGAGTCCCGACTAGAACCTAACTCGACTCGGGTATTGGGTAAGGTAAGTACATTTACAAATTCTGAAGTGCTCAGAGACTATGGGAATGGGTGCCACGTAAGTACAGAAGATAGAGATCCATCCAATTAAGTCTGCTGGCCACACTCAAACGGGACAAGGACCTGGGGACTTGTGACAACCAGCGAAGATACTTGGGACAAAGGGAAACTGACTGGGCACTGGTGCCCCACTGAAATTCATCCATAGTATAGAGAGGCTCCAACAGAGGACAGCTGAGCAGGCGTGCTAGAGGGAGCAACCCTGGCTATTTTTCTAGGACACGTTTAATTGGCTGGCATTTTTGTGCTGATCTCAGGCCCTTTAATACTCAGCAGCCTAGAGGAATTACAAAGCAAGACCACTTCCAGGAGATTGTGCTCCAGTCATCCGGGCTGGAGGGGCGGCCTTCCCCGTCCTGCTCCAACATTAAGGGTTGGGGCTTGTGTCTGATCTTATTTTCCTTGCGCAATGGTGAACTTATCAAGCAGCAAAGAGGATACTCGAATCCCTTGGGGGCAGTCACGACTCTGTCGTTTGTCTGAGAGAACGAGGGCTAAAGAGGTGGATGGGGTAAGAGTGCCACCTAAAGGGGCCATACTAGAGTGACAGCTCTAGCCTCAGCTTTTAGTGCTGTGAGGGGGTTTTCCTTCCAAACTGGGAAAGATCCCTCAAACTCATCAAGGTGCTGCAAAGGGAACTCCCCTCCGCTATTGGAGCTTAGGGAGTTCGAATGTGCCGGAACAGACCCCGCCTGTCCAAATCAAGCGCCTCGCAAACCATCGGTGCGCACCAGAGTGAACGCTTTGAGAACCTGCCACGCCTAGAAACAATCCGCGCCATGGCGCTACGTCGCGACTTGCCCCTGGGATCCAGGGACAGACGGCGGCGTTTGGGAAATGGACACAGGAGCTCAAACCCCAAAAGGCAGCATGTAGCCCTGTCCTCCGGGGTGGATATTACCAGCAGGTCCTGGGAGTTCGCTTCCCCACCCTCGCCACTACTTTGGCAACACGTGTCTAGCTTATTATGCCGACAAAGTCTCATTTAAATATAAACCCCCACCCCAAATGAAATTAAACAAATTGTGGAACTAACATGATATTTACCACCATTGCATTATTCACTCTGCTAGTATGTTCTATCCCCTTCCTCCCCCACCCTGTATGTCTGTCTTTTCTATTTAGACTGAGTTCTCTGGGGCAGGGACTGTAATGCTGTGTACAGTGGCCATAATATGTGTGGTTAATAACTGAACTGAAAGGTGCGCCAACTCGGAAACAGCTGGGTGAAGTGTTTGTGGCTCTAGGGCCTGTTGAAGCAAACTGGGAACATCTGCTCCAAAGGAACCAAATCCAGACTGGATTCTTTTGTAAAATAGAACATCTCTTTATTTTAGGTTCAGGTCACATGTCCAAAGGTAGGTCGTCTCCCCCATTTCCAGGAAGATTTTTCAATTAAAATGAAATGGAATCGCTTAGAAACTAACGTAAACTACAGTATTCAAGTCTCAAAAAAGGGCTTACATTCACTCTCCTACTAGGCCATCTTTCCACAAAATGCTAAAATGGTAGAGAAACGAGCCGCACAGTTTAGTACGGGATACGGGGGATCAGAATCAGAGTTTAAACTAAGCCCTCCAGAATCTGTGTGTGTGTGTGGTGGTGGTGGGGGGGGGGGGAGAGAAGAGAGGGGGCAGAGGGGGATTTCTTTACTGAAGAGTGCAAACATCCTGGATTTGCATCAGCATATCCTGTAAAAACCAGTTACTCTGCTTGCGTACTTAATTTAAACTGTCTATGGGTGGGGATGAGTCATCAGAGGTGTTACTTGGATGCAGATTTTTATAAAGTACCAGAACCCAAGCACGAAAGTGAAGCAGACAGCCCAGGATAAAAGTGGCACTACCTGTTTCCCCCGACTGGCACACACTCTAAGTTAAAGATGGTAGTATTACTTCATTGCACAAGGAAATCAAAAGCCATGAGCTTGCTGGATCTCAGGATCTGTGTTGCATGTGCACTGATCCAGTGATTTAAAAATAAAAATAAAAAAAAAAAAAAATCCTCCCATACCCTGCATGCTATTCCATAATCTTCATTCCAACCACCAACATGATCTCGCAGGCTCATAGAGTACCCGTCTCTCAAGCAATACTGCCACCATATCAGGCTTGCCCCTGCTAGTCTATGCTCAGCAGGACCATCACCAGGCCACTTCCCTGCGTGGGCCAAGTAAATGACGATTCATCTCTCCTTTGGGGGATTAACAGCACAGAAAGTCCTTTTTATTTGCAACACAATTAGTACTACTATCGCCTTGTGCTGGCAAGGTAACACACAGGTTTCATTCGGTGCAACAGGCTGGGATTTCACACAACAGTGCACCCTGATGTTATGTTTTAAATGCACACACCTATCTCTTTCTTCAAGGTTAAAAATCTCATTGAACAAGAGCCTGTGCTAGAGAGCATGAATATGCTCTCCTGACCGTGACACTGCAATTTCTTCTTGCAGCGTCCTGATCTGCCTTTGCATGCAAGCCTATGTGATAACTAGAGGACACCGGGTACTATCTTTGGCATGAGACATATTCAAAGGCCGGCTGGCACTCCTTCTTTGGGACAGGTGTTGAATTCAGTCTCATCCCTTGCATTCTGACTGGTTGTGGTCCAATTTTCCGGGGTTTAGGAAGTGGGATTGATCATTCATGCAATTATCGACATCGTTGGTCCCATGTTATTTATCTTTGGATATGTTACAATATGACACTCATGTAGGCTGCAAACAAGAAGTTTGCTTAGTCTCTTAGAAAAAGTGGTACAAAAATCTCCATGTATTACAGTCTTATCCCAAAGGCACAGAGTAGAATTAAAGGCAACTGTGAAATGCAGCATATTTAAGACGTTAGCTTTCTTTAAATAAAAGGAGAGAGTCTTAGCTTCTGTTTTCCTGAGTGCAGTTTGGAATCAAGGTCTCCAAGTGAGATGGGCTGGCACATTTCTTGCTGACACTGGTTTTGTCTTCACTATATGTCTTGGGTAAAGAACCACTGCTGATAAGAATCCGAGGGGTTACAGGAAGTCATAGATGGATGCTCATCTCTTGCCGACAAACACATGTTAGAGGCCACGTTTTTAATCAGACGATCCTAAAAACAAACACACTTTGCTCACATCATCCACCGATCTCAAAGTGCTTTACAAAGACCATTGTTATCCTCACCGTACAGAAGGGGAAACTGAGGCACGGGGAGGCGATGTGACTTGCCCAAGGTCACCCAGCGAACCATTGGCAGAGCGAGGAATAAAACCCAGGTCTCTGGAGTAGATCTGGGCCAGATTTTTCAGCCAAGACTTTTTTTTCGGTGAGGAAAAAAAAATGCAGATTTGGATTGACTGAAACACTTCACCAATTTGTGTCAGTTTTGGCTGAATTGTTTCAGTCGGAAAAAATTCAAAAGTTTTGTTTTGCCGTTTTCAGAACAAAAGGTTTACATTTCCTGATTCAAAATAACTTTTCACTTAAAAAAATTCCTTCAATTTTAATTTTTTTTTTAAAAAGCTCCAAATTGCAACAAAACTGTTTGACCCAAACCAAAATTTTTCAATTTTTTTGGAACAGCCAGAGAGCCAAAATAAGGTTGGTTACTTGCATGGCTCCACTCCTGAGCCCCAGTCCAGTCCTCTCCCCAGTAGGTCCCACTGCCTCCCAAAGGAACCCTCCCATTTGACAGCAAAGCACAAGACAGGCTTCTGCAAGGTATCCAAGAAACTCCTGTCAGAGGTGAGGAAGAGGGAAAGACACTGCTGCTTCCGGGTGCATTGAGCCCCTGTGTTCTTTACTTACGTGGGTCAGTTCCCATTCTTCATTTCCTGGAACACGTGTGTTTTTTCCTGTGAAGTGACAGTCTCCCAGCTCCACCGGCCCAAAGCCAGATCGGAGGCAGAGCTGCTTGCCGATGTTGTGCCGCAGGTCCTTCTGGGACGTGTATTCAAAATACTGAGAACCAAGACCAGACAGGGGAGGTTAGACTGGTGCTCTCCTTCTCTCCAAATGGTCACCTATGCTACAAGAAAACAGCCTGCCTTCTCCACTAATGAAGGCAGCACCAAAATTAACTCAAGGTGGTAGAATTCATTCTTATGCCAGTTGATAATCAAGTGCACCCCAATGCCGGTCAGTCCCCACAAGTCTGAAGGATCCACCCCCACCTTGACAAGACATCTAATCCCCCAATGAGTTGCACACTGAACAGCGTGGATGCCGGATGGACAAGGGGCAGCCTGCTCACACCACCAATGGAGTGAACCCTAACTCCAATTGTGATGTAATGCCGATGGCCCTGGGATTGTCTTTAGCAGTAGGGACTGAAACGGAGACCTCTGGATCTTAATGCAAGAGCCTTTACTGCTCAACCCGAAAGATCCATCTGTTAGACAAGGCTATAGCAGACTCATTAATTTCTGGGCAATCTAGCCACCACTAGAGGGCCACACTGAGTTGAGCTGCCGGGGGGCAAAAAAAAAAGAGTGCACTATAGTGGGGCATATTCGAAAGCAAAACAGTCAGACACCCAACGGAGCTGGCAGAGTGGGGCAATAGATTTAGTGGTTGGAGCAGAAGACTAGAAGTGAGCTCTGATCTCCTGAGCTCAGATCAGCCACTGATGGGCTGCGTGAACTGGGACAGAATTATTTTCCCTCTCCCACTCCTTACCCATACTCTACCATCCGTAGGGATAACAACCTACTTCATGAGGGAAAAAGGGAGCAGAGTTAAGGTGAATTTTTGGGATGATGTTTTTACTGCCAAACAATGAAGATTCAGATGGACCAAAACGTTTCACGAATTCTTGTTGAATTCGCCAAATTCTTTCGGTTAAAAAAAACAACAAAGAATCAGGAAAAAAAATCTTAACGTTTGTTTCAACGTTTTCTAACATGCTTTTGGGATAGAATTTTACATTTAAACCGGCTAAAAGTCAAACACAATGTTTTGTTTCAGTTTGAATGAAATGGTTTGTTTGACCCAAATCAATTTTTTCTTCTTCAGTGGTTTGGTTCAGCCCAGAAACAAACGAACAGAAAATTGGGATGGTTCTGAAAGGGGGCTTTAATTCACATTGTGAAGTGTTTAGAAAACCTCTGATGAAAGGCAGAGGCGCACAGAGTGTTGCTGAAGTGCTATGGACTTCGGCTGTTTGGGGCAGAGATCATTCAGGCTCAGGACTTGAATGGAGGTTATTGTCCTTACCCAAATAAAATAATTTGTTTAAATAAGAGGTACAAAGGAGGGGAACTGCCCAGGTTACGTGCATGATTCACATCTTAACTGCGAATGGGGAAAGGCTGGGTTCTCTCTCTTTTCCCAGCCCTAGGCTTTCCTATTTCAGTGGAGGTGGGATGGGGTGAAAGCTAGTGGGATATACTCGCACAGGCTGCATACCTGATTGCCGCCCATTCCATGGCATGGGTACATGATCAACGGCTTCCCTCCATGATTGTTCTCGCCAACATCCAGGCAATTCTTTGACCCTTCATTTTTAATCTGAAAGCAAAGAACAAAACAAAACAAAGCAAGCAACTCAGGTCGGAGGCGACATTGCTGCATTCTGGGCACTCAGTCACAGACCTGACCCAACCCTGTGCGCCTGGCCAGGGATTCAGGATCCACTTTTCAGCTCAAAACACAGCCCAGCAAATCCTATTACATCCGGTCGGGATCCCTGGGCTGTTTTTTGTTTTGTTTTTTAAATCAGGGCTTTGCTGTGGTTTTGTTTGGGTAACTGGGATCCTCCCGATTTCTCTTCTTTCAGCAGGGGTTAGTTTAATACTCAGTATATTTGGGCTGAAATTTTCAAAGCCACTGAAGATGGAACACTAGACGGAGAAGGCTCGGAGTTACTACAGTGAATTCTTACCCCAGGTAAGAATTGCATCCGAAGAAGTGAGGTTTTTACTCACGAAAGCTTATGCCCAAATAAATCTGTTAGTCTTTAAGGTGCCACCAGACTCCTTGTTGTTTTTGTAGATACAGACTAACACGGCTACCCCCTGATACTCTTACCCCAGGTGTCCAGCTGGTGGGTTTCTCCAACATGCACAGGGTCTGATCGTCATTTGGGGTCAGGAAGGAATTTCTCCCCAGGTCAGATAGGAAAAAAACCCTCAAGGTCTCTGCCACCTTGCATTTGCAGCATGGGGCATAGGTAACTTGTTGGTTTGAACAAGAGCACATGGTGGATTCTCTGTAATTGAAGTCTTTCAATCATGATTCGAGGACTTTAGTAACTCAGCCAGAGGTTAGGGGGATGAGGTGGAGGCGGTTCTGTGGCTGTGATGTGTAGGAGGTCAGACTAGATGACCAAGATGGTCCCTTTGGGCCTTAAAGTTTCTGATTGCAGCAAGCAATTCACATTAAAATAATGAGTACTGGACATCCAAAATTGCTTCCCAATCTCTGCCTTGGAGCTCTAAGTCTTAAGAGGCTGGGACCTTTCGTAAGGCTCTAACTTTCCAGGGATGATTATTTTTGGGAGCTGCGAAGACAAAGCATTCTGGGGAAAATAATGCTGAGAACTCCGCAAACTGAAAACAACCCAGAGCAGATGTCAAGTAATCTGCTACGGCCAGATAGCTGTAAACTGCCTTCGATACAACAACTTCCGGGAGCAGCCCTGCAAATGAATAAATCATCTGCCATGCTATCTTCTGGCTGCACCTGTATTCCGGAATGCAAGCAAGGGCAGGAGGGTTCAACCAGGATTAGGATCCTATGCACAATCGGTTCACGTCTCGTCACTCCTCTTCTGCTTACATATCAGTAGATCGCTGGATCAGAGAACCGGCGCTGCAAGTTTTTACTATGCAAAGCAACGACCTTTCTGCAGTGGGCATTTAACTCCGTTGCTGTGAATTGGAAAGAGCGGAGCTGACTTCCCAGGAGAAACCCAAAGTGTGTATTTTCCTTGAGGCAACTGACCTTGAATGGCCAGAGAAACCAACCACAACAATCCTTAGCGGCCAGAAGAGATAAACAGCGCTCTGCACATAACTGATTTTTCAGTTTGGGGCTAACAGCACTGCTGTGTCTCACAGGGATGCGTGGGAATTATATATTTAAGATTGCGAGACACTCGGATATTATGGTAACACAAGCCAGATAAATACTTAAGAGATGCTGTTTTTCTGGACTCACTGTGAAGGTGAGAGTCAAACTCCTTTGTCTGTTGCTCAAAGCCTCAATTGGCTTCGCTACAGTTCAGTCCCATTTTAAACTCCCCAACTCTCAGAACCTTGTACTGATACCAGTATCCCTTCAGCCAAGAACTGGATTGGCCACTTAGAAGCCTATTACTTGGCCAGAAGTACTGACATGAGGTGTGCCCAGCCCTCAGGCAGTGAGTGATCTTTACTACACTCCCCTTGCTGGCCTGGTGAAAGAGCAAAACCGGCTAAATCAAAGACCAGCATTTCTGGGCATTGACACGCCCCCCACCCCTACCGCTTAACCGCCACTGTTCCATTCTTGAGCAGAAGCTGCCAATCACGTAGCTTGCTGGGGCGGAATATACGGGGAGAAGTCTTTTGAAAGGAGTGAACTTTTTTTTCCCCATTGTGTTTAACATTTTCTATGAAGCTTTTCGTCCTGATGCAAGATTGTGTCAGTAGGAATAAAAGCCCACTTAAAAAAAACTAAACACACACCAAATGCCTTTTCCACTGGGGGAGGGGGGGAGGAAGAGAGGGGCGGTTGTGTGGGTAAATAAAGGGAAAATGGGTTCTCTCTCTCACACCCAGCTAGTGTAGACGAGCCCGGAGACAAAGGGGAAGGGGATGAGGGGAGGAGGAGAGAGATCAGGCGACTGAACAAGTCTGACAGAGTTGCTCATGAAGAACATTGAGGATTCTAAGTGCCAGAGCACTGTTTAAGGCTATGTCTACACTATGAGTTAGGGGTGTGATTCCCCTGCCCATGTACACATGCTCACACCCAAGCTCTCATCGAACCAGCCGTGAGTATAACAGCAGTGCCGGTAAGCATACGAAATGTATTCCTGGCTCCTGCTGGGACGCCTTCATTTGTAGATTCCAAACCCCAACCCAGAAGGGACCATCGGGATCTGGTCTGACCTTCTGTATAACACAGATCATAGAACTCCCCCCAAAATAATTTCTACAGCGGATCTTTTAGGAAAACATCCAGTCTGTGGCAAAGTCATTTCCCCTTTCCGTGTCTGAGTTTCTCATCTCATCTGAATTTTGTCTTGGACATTTAGACTGTAAGCTGTTTGGGGCAGGGACCGTCACATCAGGAGTCTGCTCCGTGCAATGGCGCCCTCATCTTCATTCGAGCCTCTACACCACACGAACCGCTGCTACCATCTCCATTTGTTTCTAGAGAAGGAGGGAATCGAGGGGGGTTTGCCAGAAGGAAACAGGACAACACAGACACACTCCTGCACTTACTGCTCCGTAGAAGGTTGGGGTCAAGTCTGGGATGAAGATCTCTGGATAGACAGTTTGTAGATACCAGGTGAAGTTTTTACAGTGCAGTTGCTCCTTCAGTTTGAGCCGTTCTGTAACGTCGCCGTATGTTTTCTATCAAAATCATGCAAGAAAATTAAACTAACCTCAGTAGGGCAGCAACAGAATCCAAAACCCGGTGTTCCCTTTAGTAGGTTTGCCTTATAGCATCACAGAGAGGTGGTTTCCATTTGTAATTCACCGCAGAACCTTATGGGATTAAGTTACTACACACCTTCCCTTCTTATCACAGGTAGGATGCAAAACAGCACCGAGGAGCATATTTCCCAGGATGCTGGTCACTGGAAGTAGAGAGAGAGAGACAGGAAACCTGTTTTCCCCTCCAGCGAATCTTTAAAAGTTTGAAATCCCCCCCCCCCCATCCCAAATCAGGACAAAAAGTGGAAATCTCCAAAATATTTGCCGACCCCCCCCGAAAGTTCAGGTTGGGTTAATCAAGTGGTTTTCTTTTAAAGCTTTGTTTTTTAAACCTAATTAGAAATTTAAAGTAATGATGTTTTGACCTAGAAAACCTGAATTCCCCCCCGCAGAAAATGTCAAAATGAAACATTGATAGTTCTGAAGCTTTTCTATGGAGGTTTTTTTTTGGGGGAGTCAGGAGGTTTGTCCAAAACTACCCTATTTTGCAAACAAATTTCAGTGAATCAGCATTTTTTGATGAAAAACCGTATGTTGAAAAATTCTCTAACTGGTTCTAACTGGAAGGCTCATCTCAGACAGCACAAGGCACCTTTTCAAGCCAATAGCTATAGTTGAAGGTGGTACTACCAATAACCCATCGCCCCCCAGCTCTAAAACCTAGCTCCACTACTGATCCAGATCCCACGTGGGTGGGCCACTGACCCGGCACAGAATCTAGTTGACTTCTATGGAGTTCTGCACAGGCAGATGGGTCCATCCATGTGGTTCTCTTCATAGGACCAGCGCCTTAAGCGTGACACTAAAAGAGGCCCAGCATTGCCAAGAGGAATCAACCAACTAGTTTCCCTGCATACAGAAACACATCAAAGATGCTTTGATTACTTGCGAGATGCTTTATGGAACTGGATTCGGTACCTCTTTGGCCATCTTCAAGGCCTGCTGGTTTCTTCTGTAGAATATTTCCTTATAGTCGTCCATCCAGACCTCCGCCAGGCGCACTTGGTTCCTGGAGATGACCTGAGTTCCTTTTGGGAAGGTGTGTGGACTTTTGGAGCGGAACACGTGCCCAACCACCGAGCAGGGGATGATCTCCAGCTGACCACCACACTGCCAAACCTACACAAGGGAGAAGCCGCCCATCCAGTGAATTTCAAAGGGAGCTTTACTCAAACAAACCCTGACATCAATGAAAGGGGGAAAAGAATTTTTCCTATGTCCAAAGTGTTTTCGTCCATAGTTTGAAGTACAGAACTGGACTGGGTTGAGATCTGGCATAATGTGCTTTGAGCTTCGTTATTTGCATTGCAGTAGGACCTTGACGCTCCAGTCACAGACCCCATCACGCTAGGGGCCGTACAAACAGAGCTCTGCCTTTCTAACCACATGCCCTGAAAACAAAGGCTCTGGTTTGCAAAGGAGTGGCGAGACCTCAGCACTTCGGGAATTCAGGCCCAAAGCCCACAGTTAATGGATTTTGTTAGCCAAAACAACAAGGAGTCTGGTGGCACCTTAAAGACCTTCGGATGCATCCGAAG